CCAGGTACCTGCTAGATTACATTCTTTAATGGACTAATTTTTCTCAAAACTCTTTTTTTTTCCCCCCTTTCAATAAGCCATATAACTAAACCTGTCTACTTTTGCAGATTTTTCTCCCAGATACCTTTCTATCTTTGGTCCCTAACATTTATTACTAGAGCATAAATGCAGGAGTTGGAGAGTACTGATCCTTGAAGACCCACTTGCTACACCAAGACACACACAAGCCTGTGGGGCCACATGGGATCCACCCAAGGGTACTGAGGGAGCTGGTGGAAGTGCTCATTAAGCCACTTCTCATCATTCATGAGAAGTCCTGATACAAGTTCTCTGTCCAGAGCATGGGAGCAGTGTGTGAGGGGTTTGGGGAACCTGCAAGTATACTTGATTTCCTTCAGCACTTCCAACTCCACCCACTCAAGCTATTTGGCCAGTGAGGTAAGTCCTGTAGCTTGACCTGCACGGTGAGAGGCAATGTTTGCTGATCAGCACCAGAGAAACTCTTGGGAAGGAGATGGAAAAGGCAGAGGTGATTACAAAGCAAAACACCAAACTGTTCTTGACCCTGCCTCAAAAAAAAGAAAGTTCAGTTATTTACTCAACTTTTATTTCACCTCTATATTTTATTACCGTTCAAACATCCTTGGGGATATATGAACGTGCCTAGGGACAGCACATCACTCAAATCAAAAAGGCTGGACCCCTGAGAATATCTAGAAAATTTGCCCTTAAACAAGTAAGTCTGGAGACATTTGCACCAGTTGTAATTTTTGCTTTTTTCTACACCAGCAGTGTGGTTTTCCTTTTTGCACCCCTGCTTTTCAGCCTCCCAGAAGAAGCTGCAGGAGAGCCTGAGAAACTGGCTTCTTTTATTGTGTTCAAAAGCCATCCTGGCATCCACGGCAACCCGGCATTTGATTTCTTAGCTCTCTTCTGTCATTTCAATTGATAGTCCATTTTGGAAAGAAACTGGAAACACTTAATGAAAAATTTTATCAGAGTGAAGGTAAATTCAAGAGAGGAAACAATGCTAAGAGATGGATGTCTTTAAGTTGCAAGTTGCCATAGTTCCGTGTTTTTAGAGTCCACAAATACAGGCATCTTAAAAGCAGCAATCCAATCAGGTATGACAGGGCCTATGCCCTACTCAGTCAATGCTCTCTGACAGCAACCATGGAGATGAGAAAGAAATACCCCTATTACTTACATCTTGAAAGACAATTTTGAGGTCTTCTAGGGGTTTCTGTTTTTTAACTCTTTTCTTATAAAGACTAAACTCAGGTGTATCGACATCTGCTTTTCAATAACTGCTTATAACTGTTACAAATAACAGTATAAAATAACAGTTTATAATACATAGGTTGCTAGTATGGTGAAGATAGCCGAGAATTTTAAAAAGCCCTTTGTTCTGCTGTACAAGAGTAGTGAGCTTCGAGGGCATTCACAGATCGATTTTTTTAATTATTATTATTTTTTACAAGAAAACTCCCCACTCTCAGTAGGGGAAAGTTGCCATTTACTTCCACAGTGCAGACAAACCACAGCTCAGCTAGCACTTTGTTACTCAAGTAAATCTGACAACACTTTAAAACAGCCCAGAAAAAAAACCCTTCCCAAGCGCTGAACAGCTCATACACCCTCCAGTAGCAATACACACGTGGGAAGAAAATTTTAAACATATTATTTAAAAAGAAACAAAACTTAGGTTAGCTCTTAGCATCTTAGGCCCCCCCCGGAATTACTCTAATTTAGTTTTCAGTGCATATAAATTTTCTGCTCATGGCTTCTCGTTGCCAAACCTGGGGCAAGTACAAAGGCAGAAGGAGCCAACAAGCTCAGCATTAAGTTATCTAAATAATTTCTATTGACAGTTTCTCCAGAAAACATACTGTGTGACATCACCAATAATATCAAGTATCCTCAGAAGACAATACTAACTCAAACAACAATTTCAGTAAACTGAAAACCTTTTGCATGTGGAGAGGTGACTACATGAAAATTTTCTCTCTTAACAGCAAAGGTTTATTGCAGATCAAGAAGAAGATCAGAGGATCCATTATATGTCAATATAATGGAGATTTCTGGTTGTGATCTCAAAACCCCTATGCATATAAAATAAAAACCCCTATTGTCATAATCATGCATGATTGACATATAATCACAGAATCACAGAATGTTAGGGGTTGGAAGGGCCCTCTGGAGACCATCGAGTCCAACCCCCCTGCCAGAGCAGGACCATCTAGTCTAGGGCAGGTCACACAGGAA